CTCCCTCCCTCCCTCCCTCCCTGCATCATTCATTCGTTTGCTCATTGGTTCAATTTGTTTACCGGTGTCAGCGGCGTCTGCATACTGTTTTCTATGCATATCTGTTTGTTCAGTCCATAGAGGCACGTAAGTACTTATACATACATGTACATGCGTATACATACATACACATACATATGTANNNACATACATACATACTTACATACTTACTTATCTATAAATGTATGCATGTGTGTATATCTGTATATATATCTATGTGAAGCGAGACGTCTACATATATACACACATAAATGTCTTTGTATGTATATATATATATATATACATGTATGTACATATACATCATATGTATGTATGTATGTATGTATGTATGTACGTATGTACGTATGTATGTACCCACACCTTTAAGCATGAAACTTCGGACCCCGGCCAAAAGCAACTTTCAACCCCAAGAGTCCAAGAGTTCAAGCAGGGCCTCTGCAGCTTCTCAGGAAGCCCTTCAATGTACTGGCAAGAGATAGCATGCAGGGAGGGGCTTAGGGTTTAAGGCTTCGTTTTGTAGATCGAGACCCTAAACCCTAAACCCTAAACCCGCAACCCCAAGCCTTCGGCATCGAGGCTCGTGGGTCAGGCATGGCAGTACCGGGCCGTAGGCAGGGTAAAAAAAAAAAAACAAGGAACACCTAAACCCCAAAATCCAAAAGCGCTACAACCGCCACAGGACCCTCGAAACCCTTGTAGAAAGCTGGAAACCTGTAAGGCCACCCTACAAAAGAAACACTAGCACTCGTTGAAGCCTTGGTAAGCATGTTCTGAAACTCGACGGAGGCCAAGGAGTCGAGACCGGCGTCCATGAGGGGCGTGTCCTTGACACGCTTGGGGGTTTGGGGTTTAGGCTTTGGGGTTTAGGGTTTAGGGTTTTAGGGTTTAGGGTTTGGGTTTTAGGGTTTTGGTTTTAGGGTTTAGGGTTTGGGGTTTGGGGTTTGGGGTTTGGGGTTTGGGACGTTCTCGTGCCTGAACAAATTAGCAACATATAACCCCTAGAACGTGCCTATACCATTGCAGCAACATCTATCTCGAAACCTCGATCTGATATTCTGAGTTTTGGGGTTTAGGGGTTAGGGCTTCAGGGTTTAGGGTTCAGGGTTTAGGGTTTAGCCGATGTTACCCAATAGGAAGACCCAAGGCTCCATCTCCAACTCGTCCGCGCCGATCAGCGACATCGCAATATCTTGGACCTGACTTTAGGGTTTAGGGTTTAGGGTTTAGGGTTTAGGGTTTAGGGTTTAGGGTGCTCTTCGGCGTGGAGGGCAACCCTGGCCCCTGCGCCCTGAACCTTAAACCCTGTTTAACCCTAAACCCGAACCCCTGACCCCTAAAGCATAAACCTTAAACCCTAAACCCGAACCCCTAAACCTCAAACCCAAAAACCTAACCCCAAACCCCTAAACTCCAACCCATAAAACCAAACCCCTGAACTCCAACCCCTAAAGCCTAACCCCTAAACCCCAAACCCTAAAACCTAACCCCTGAACCCCAACCTCTAAACCCTGAACCCCTAAACCCTAAAGCCTAACCCCTAAACCCCAAACCCTTAAACCCAAACCTCAACCCCTAAACCCCAAACCCTAAACCCCAACCCCTAACCCCCAAACCCTAAACCCTAAACCCTAAACCCTAAACCCCAACCCCTAAACCCTAACCCCTAAACCCTTCCCCCCAAACCCCAACCCCTAAACCCTAAACCCTGAACCGCTGTAGGCTTTGAGTGTATAGGGCTCTGGGCTTAGGGCCTTCGGACTTCAGGGCTTCAAGGCCTTAGGGTTTGGAAGGTGTCACCACTTTGCGGCTTTTGGGTTTAGGGTTTAGGGTTTAGGGTTTAGGGTCTAGGGTTTAGGGTTTGGGGTTTAAGGTTTAGGGTTTAGAGTTTAAGGGCTTAGGATTTCGAGTTTTAAAAAATTCCGAACAAGCTCTGAACCAGGCAACCCCCCGAAGAAACCAAACAAATCTCTCTTGTCCCCGACAAAAACCAAGCCCCAAACCGCAAGATCCCACGACTCTACAAACAGGCGACCCTGAACCACGTGTGGAGCAATTGACGGAATTGGTCAAAGGAGCTAGGAAACCCGTGCAAAGGTAGTACACCGAATATCAACCCATTTTTGTGCATCCATATAAGAACACTCTGAATGCCCTTTTGAATTGTGAAACTGTTACACCCTCGTGAAAACCCTGCATACCCTTGTGAACCCAAGTGCCAAGCCCTCACAGGAACCCTAACAACACCCTGTCCCATTGGCATTTAAAACCCTCAAAACTCCTACTGACTGCAGCGGCCTCAACAATTTCAGTAGGGTCGCCCCTAAACCTTAAACCGTAAACCCCTAGACCCTAAACCCTAACCTAGTGTATGCTACAATGCCGACCCTCACTGTTTGTTAAAAATCCTCTGAGGAAACATTATTGGTATGGACGACAACTTGTTCCTCCGGAAAGACGTCATATTATTGTATACTATGTTGGCAATGAAATAAAATAATCGTCCACTCTATTGAAATTCTATGAAGCTAGACTATTAGACTAGACTAGAACTATGGTATATTAAAATATATGTCACCACATACTATATTGTATCACATTATATTCTACTGGTTGGTATTGCCATATACCATACTCTATTGTCGTATATCTTATTATGCGATATTCTGCTTTACTCTCTTATATATTACATTGTTACGCGAAGTTACATTTGACTAGATCATACTGTTTTGTATTACATTATATTGTATTGCAGTATATTGTAGTACGTTGGATTAAATTAACTATGTCAGGATAAAACAGATCATGTTAAGCCACAAAATATTGGAGTGTATTGTATTGCATTCTGCTATACTGGGTTATGGTAGGTTGCATTCGACTATGTTAGGTTTAATGTATAGCCACATTATATTCAATGACACAACCGTTCATTTCATTGCCTTGCATTATATCACATTATCAAATCTTGCCTTACATCACATGTAACATCACATTACATTAAACTACACCAGTCTACATTATACTATAAACCCAAAACCAAAATAACCTTATCAACTTACCAAAGAAGGACCCAGGAGTTGAGGGTTTCGGGGAGCCCTCGCCAGGCGTCCGGGCCGATTCCTGCACCTGACCAGAGCTCTCTCTCTCTCTCTCTCTATATATATATATACATATGTGTATATATATATATATGTGTATATATATATATACATATCTCTCTCTCTCTCTCTCTCTGCTTTTATGATGCAAGGGGTATGCAGGGTTTAGGGTTTTTGGTTTTTACGGCCATGCGCGACAGAATTTGCAAGGATGCCTTTTTAAACAAGCGTGCCTGCGGGTAGGGTTTAGGGTTCAGGGTTTAGGGCTTCCACTCTGCTTTAGGCTTTAGGTTTGCAAGGGATATGCAGGATTCCTAAACGATCTGGTAATGCTATTGCATATACCGATTATGTGTATATGCATACACATACATACATACATACATACATACATACATACATACATACATACATATGTATAGGCATATATATATATATATTGCTTTTGTTTATTGATGTATTTATTTATATTTTTTACTTGCAAAAAATCATGTAGCTGTCTGGAATTTGGGGCTTCAGTACTGCAGGATCTTGGGCTGTGGGGTCAGAGCCAGGAAGTGCCTCTTAAGGGCTTATAGGGTTCAGGGTTTAGGGTTTAGGGTTCAAAGCTGAGGCGTTTAGGGTTTCTAGGTTTCTGGGTTCAGGGTTTAGGGCTTAGGGTTGAATGTTGAGGGGTTTAGGGCTCAGGGTTTGGAGTCAAGGGAGGTTTGGGGGGGATTGGGGTTTAAGGTAGGAACCTGATCAAGAAACCCTGGGGCCCAACCACCCCAAAAATCTTAGGATTCATCTAGGGAACCCTGGTTCAGACCCGGGGTTTCTTAAGCAGGTTCCGATCTTAGGATGGTTTAGGGTTTTGGGGTTTGGGGCTCATAGGGTTTAGGGTTTGAGGTTTGGGGCTGAGGTCTCATAGGGGTTAGGGCTCAGGGTTCAGGGCTCATAGGGTATGGGGTTTAGGGTTTAGGGTTTCGGATTGAGGACTTGAAGTTTACAGTCCCCTAACATAACATGGGTTATAAGTCTGGTTACCCTACTTCTAAACCTAGTAGTGACAGCCAACGAACCTCGAAGTAAGGGTTAGGACCCTAAACCCTAAACCCTAAACCTTAGGACCAGGATGTTTAGGATTTCGGACGGCTATGGTTGGTAGTGGTTGTGTAGGGTTCAGATCCGAAGTTGAAGTGTGCGGCTCCGGACGGGTGGCCCATGTTGCTTTTCTGTTGTGGTCTTCGGGGCTTAGGGAAGTTTAGAGTTTAGGGTTTAGGGCTTTCCGTTTTAGGGTTTTAGTGTTTTAGGGCTTTAGGGTTTAGGGTTTAGGGTTTTGGAGTTGAGGAATCCGAGCTTTTTGGGCCTTAGGTCTCTGGTGCTTCGGGATGTAGAGCTCGTGGTTTGCGGGTAAGAAGTGTAGGATTAAGTGTTTCGGGTCTTGGCGTTGGGGTTTAGGGGTTAAGGGCTTCGCAGCCAAAACCTAACAGTTATCTTCCGGTAGCAATCCGAAACCGAGCGTTGTAAAGAAACGGCCACAAATACTTGGGGGCTCCCTTATTATGATAAGTGTAGTATCAGATACCCGACAAGCCATATGCTCTACTATTTGGGGTCGAGGTTGGGGGCGTTCGTTCCTCGTTTTATCAACTCCTCCGAGTTCTCGTGCATCCTCTTCCTGGTTAGGGCCCATGGTCAGGGGTTTAGGTTTAGGGTTTAGGGTTTAGGGTTTAGGGTTTAGGGTTTACGGTTTACGGTTTAGGGTTTCAGGTTTAGGCTCAGAGTGTGTTGTAGCAAACCGTTGGCCGTTGAAGTCCGCTTCCTCACTGCGGATCATGTTTGTCGTGGCGTCCACCCCCACTGCGCCCGCGCCAGTGCCGACCCCAGAGTGATCGAACACAGTCATCCCCACCGTGATGAGGGGGTATGTGTCCCCCTCGTGGTTCGACCAAAATGTCTGCGTGAACCCGTGCGTTCCTCGGAGGTCGCGCACTGCCGCTGCCCCACCCGCTGCGGCAGCGGCGTTGGGATCGACCCAGAATCGCACCGCGTGTTCGCGTCGGCGAACCAAGTTGGCCGGCTTTTTGGTCCTCTTTGCCACCGCCGCCCAGAAGCATGCGGCCGGGCTTTCCTGGCAATTCCACATACCCCAACAAACAAACCTAAACCCTAAACCCATTTTTCTTGGGCTTTGTCCCTGGGCTGTCGGATCGCTACGAGTTGAACACGAACTGCGTCAAGCGCCCGGATGCTCTCACAAGGAGTCAAAGTCTTGAAATTAGATGCGAACCCCTAAACCCCGAAACCCCCAATCCCTAAACCCTAAACCCTTATTTAGAAGAAAACTTTAGTCAAGGAGCTTTTGGAGGTTTGGGGCCTGCAAACCCCTAATACAGGGATTTAGGGTGCAGGGTTTAGGACCTATACTATTTGAGATGTTCCTTGCTATGATTCTAGTACAATAGACACCAAAACTCTAGTCTGATTTCTGATTATCAGGGAGCAAAAATCCTCAACAACCTGTAAGCCCCAGACCTACAAAAACCGTAGCACCCCTGTAGGACCATTGTTGTTCCACTATAGCTTGGGTTTAGGGGCTTAGGGTTTAGGGCTTATGCGTTCCTGGGCAACCCCCCCAACCCTAAGCCGGAAACTTGATAATTAGAACAGGGTCTTGGGGTCCATTATACCGGAATTATAGTAAGGAACTCCAAAACAGTATTAGTAATGATTAGGCCCTATATTACCCACCTGCTCCAGCGTCGGCCCACCCTTCGGTGGCGGTGCAGGTGGGGCGGCACTGGGCGCAGCAGCCATCTGCTGTGGGGGCGGCGCACCTGGTCGAGTCGAGGGTTTAGGGTTTAGGGTCTGGGGTTTAGGGCTTCATCTGTTGAGGCTGAGGCTTTTGGGGGTTTAGGGCACCTTGAGAATTCGATAAGCGTTCTACAAGAGTTCTTTAAGCGTTCTGCCAAGGCTGCCAGGGTTCCATCAAGGGATGTGCTGCTATTAATATCTGGATGCTAGTAAGTACCCGTCTGTCTCCGGCTTGTGGGTACTAGTAACCGTCACAACCAATTCTCCTCTCCTCCTGCAATCGCGAAGCGTCTAAGGCTGCTGGTGCAACTGCAACACTAAGGGCATACGCACAAAACACGACCTAGTGAACTGAAAAAGGAAAAATCCACCATGTGACACTGAGTCCAGGCCAAGATATCAGGCAAACAAAAGTAGAGGGATCCTTGTTGATGGTGGGCACCGCATCCCTAAACAAACTCAATTCACTCTCAAAACCCTAAACCCACAGCTGCCGCCTCCCATTGGCATCGGCCCACCCGATCGGCCACCGATGCCACCCGAGCCGTACCTTAGGCGTGAGGATTTGCTTCTCAGCTTTACATCGCTAAACCCTACTACGCTTTATTTCTGCACCCGATAAAGCCGTACGGGTCGGGGCTCAGGGCGTAGGGCTTGGGACCAGATGCCCAAACAGGCTTTGCCGCCTTCAGGGTCTGGGGATCTCAAGCTTGCGGATTTAGGGAGTTTTGGATGTTCGGGGTGTTCCGGGTAAAGTTTGAGGCCTTTTTCTAAAGGTCGAACCTGAGGTTTTTGGCTTCCTGATGTAGAAACCTCGAATTGAGCTCAAGGTTTACAGTTTAGGGTTCGCCCTCGACCCGGCGACAAGCTGGATCCTAAACCCTAAACCCTGAACCCTGAACCGCAGCTCGGCGACATTTGTGCCTCGGATGGCATCATCGCCATCGGAGTGGCCTTGCGAGACTCCGCAGTTTAGGGTTTAGGGTTTAGGGATAAAGTTTTTGAGCTTGGTCGGTTCCTTTACCAGCATTACCTGTCGCGGTTTAGGGGGTTTCGGGCTCGGCTCCAAAGGTTTATGGGTTTAGGGTTTAAGGTATGAGGGGATACTTTCCAGCTCGCATGTTTCCCGAAGCACTCAGGCCTTCTCACCACAAAAGCGAAACCTAAACCACCACCCCTTGAAAAACAACCTGAAACAGACGACAATGCTGGAGGATGTAGGGTTTGAGCCTAGCATGTAAGCTTTCTGTTCACAAAAAGGCTGATGACTGGAGTGAGATCAGGCTCCTGTATACCCAACTACACCTACTCAACAGATTAGCTGACCCTGCAAGTAAGCCCTACATCCGAAACATGTATATTGATGGTAACGGTAAAGATATTAACTAGAATAGAGAGCGCTGAGACGAGCAACAGTGCGAGGTGTCAGACTTGTCCGGTAATGCGCCGGTAAGCCCCTGTTAATAAGTACATGCTGAGTTTTTCGGGTCCGGAACATGCACGACATCTCGCCACCGTGGGCATGCAAGGAGAGACCGAAAGTGTGAACGGAAGCCTCGACCAGTCAATCCTGAAACACCTGATTGCACGAACATCTGCACGGCAATCCGGCTTCTTTCCCTTGTTGCAGGTTGGGGCAAGGCATGCAAAACCTGATGGACGAAAAGTCCCCGCTTACCCCGTTTTGACGTAGAGGCAGCATGCTGCCGTGGTGTCCAGCCTAGGCCACCATGCCTTTCCTCTTTCTCTCTCTATCTTTTTCTCTATCTCTCTCTCTCTCTCTCTGTTCCGCTTTGCTCTCTGTCTCTCTCTCTCTCTCTCTCTCTTTCTCTCTCTCTCTCTCTCTCTGTCTCCCTTTCTCTTTGTCTTTCTTCTGTATGTATTTTCTCTATACGTCGTTATCTTTATCTTGCTCGCTCTCTTTGTCTATCTGTCTCTGTCTCTTTCTCGGTTTCTTCTCCCTCTCTCTCCCTCTCTCTCTCTTGCTTACTCTCGCTCGTGCTTTCTCTCTCTCTCTCTCTGTTTCTCTCTCTCTCTCTCTCGTTTTCTCTCTCTTTCTCTTTCTCGTGATCTCTCTCTCTCTCTCGATGTGATCTGTCTCTTTCTCTGTCTGGCTCACGACTTTGTGCTCTTTGTCTTGCTCTTGCTCTTTATCTCTCTGTCTCTCTCTCTCTCTCTCTTGCTTGTTCTCTCTCTTTCTCTTGTAGGCCTTTCTCTCTCTCTCTCTCTCTCTGTTTCTTGTTATCTCTCTTTTTCGTTTTCTGTTTGTTCTTCTCTGTCGTTTTCAGTCGTTGTTTCTCTCTCTCTTACTCTTTCTCCCTTGCTTGCCTGCTTGCTGGGCGTCTGGGAGGGGGGCGCAAGTCACAAGCGCTACGCCAGTGTCCGGGTCCCTCTTTCTCCCTCTCGCCTCTCGCTCTCGCTCTCTCTGTCTCTCTTTCTCTGTGTTCCTTTCTCTAGTTGCATCTCTCACTCTCTCTCTCTTGTTCTCTCTCTCTCTCTCTCTCGCTTGCTCTCTCTCTCTCTCTCACTCACTCCCTCTCTCTCTCTCTCTCTCTCTCTCACTCACTCTCTCTATCTCTTTCTCCCTGTCTCTCTATCTTGGTCCTTGTCTCTCTCTGTCTCTCTCTTTCTCTCGTTTTCTCTTTCTCTCTCTCTGTTCTGTTCTCCGGGGTTCGAGGAGCGTGTCGCGCCAAGAGGCGCGCCCCTGTTTGGGGGCCTTGTGGGGGCTCGGAAAAAGACATGGTTGCTCGCTCTCTCTCTCTCTCTCTCTCTCTCTCTCTCTTCTGCGTTTTTTGCTTCTCTTTCCTTTACCGCTTCTCTTTATCATTCTTTTTTTGTTTCGTTATATATACATATATATATATATATATATGTGTGTCTCTTTATCTTGCCCTTTCTCTGTCTCTCTTTCTCGTTGTCTTTATTTTTCTATCCATCTATCTATCTATCTATCTATCTATCTATCTACGATATAGTTGTTTCTCCTTCTCTTTCTCTGTCTCAAGATGCCGCGATACAGCTTATTATTCGGGGCGTTGTGGGCCTTAGTAGCGGGACTTTTGCTTTGTATTGGCTACATGCCTGTAGTGCCGGGTGCGAACGCTGAAGAAGCAAGCATCTACAGTTGACAGAGGTCAGAGTAATGCTCGGCGATGATGCGACAGAATAAGGTCCCAAGTGTAAACCCTACTTGGAGGTTCATGGGTAGTTATAAGTGGGGTTATAAGTCCCCTAATATGGGTTATAATTATAGGTACCCCACTTATAACCCTACTTATAGCTACCCATGAACCTCCAAGTAGACGAGGGTTTAGATGGAACAGGCTTCGCCCTGGAGGCTCCTCTGGACGATTCAATTAACGCGCTTTCTTTTCTTAGACCGGTCTGCGGCCAAGTTGCCAAGAAATGGCATGCGGGCATGACCCTAGACCCTAAACTCTCAACCTCAAAGAGAACCATGAACGTTTTTCCTGCACCCCCAAGCTTGCAACTTATAGCATGAACATAGCGGCGAGCGCTAAAACTTGCACACTGCACAGACCCGCGCCCTGCATAACTCCACTTTAGGCCAGATTTTGTGCTGGGCCGTCCGGTGTGCTGTGATACAGTTAAAAGTTTAGGGCACAAGGGCTTCTACTAGCGGTATCCCCAACAAAAGAGCCTTTACAATCCTTATACTCGAAAGACTCGAAAGCACACCTGGGCTCTAAACCCCTCTCTCCCTGATTCCTAAAACTTTGTCCACGCTCTCGCAAAAGATGTGAAAGGAAAGGGAGAAATAATCATGAAACAGATTCTGAGTGATAAGAGTAACAATGCAATGCATCATTATCACCAACACCATCATCATCCCCATCGTCATCATCCCTAATCCCAATAACACCAGCATCATCATTATCAGCCAACCCTCCACCCTTACACCCGGAACCCCCTGAACCTCTAAACCGTGAAATCAACCCTAAACCCTAAACCCTAAACCCTACTTCCACTGGGCTTTGGGCCGCGGTGACGCCGGTCTCTTCTTGCTCCCTCTGTCGGAGGTAGTCGCCGTCGATGATCTCCCGCGCTTGCTCCTTTTTGATGCTTCTTTAGGGTTTAGGGTTTAGGGTTTAGGGTTTAGAGATTGGGGTTTAGGGTTTAGGGTTTAGAGAGTTCTATGAGAGTTCCCTTAAAGGGTGTATGGGTTGGGGTTGCGGCTTTGGGATTTTGCTTATCACGTGGTTCGAGTTCAATTTGCTTGGGGCTTTCGAACATAGCGGCCTTTAACGCCTCTTACTGCGATACGTTATACTGCAAACAGAAGACGGGACCCCAAAAGCAGATAATGTCAGGTAATTACTTAGGCCTTTATGTTAGAGTTTCGGGCTTTGAGATTTGGGGTTGCTTTCCGAGCTGGTTGGACTCACTTTGCATTGAGCTCTCGCAGACCACAGGAACCACCTGCAGAGCAACTTGTCGCTGCTGCAGAAAGGCTGTCATTATGAATGTAAAAACTCACCAGCCTGCCAGCAGGAGTTGCCAACAGGTTTAGGGTTTAGGATTCGGGGTTTGGTGTTGTTTAAAAGTGCAATAGCCCCTTTCTCCACCGCAGAGACTTTAGGGTTTAGGGTTTAGGGTTTGGGATTTGTTTGGGGTTTAGTGGCCGGTCAGCCCAGAAAGCTTCTGGCAGCTTTGCAAACATCAGCTGTTTGCTCAGCGCATTGCCGAAACATGTTGTGCATTCTGCTTCGGAGCTCCTGCGGGGGAGCACGCTCCAAAAGGCTCCGAACGGGAGATCCGTGGAAAGAAGCGCTTGGAGCTCAGCCACACAGATGACTCTCCGAGCTGCGGAGTCGTGAATGCCCTGCCATGCCCGGATCACACGTGCTGCCTGTCACTAAACGCCAACACGCACCAAACGCCCTACGCAAAATAAGGCAACAGGCTATAAACATCTCAACTTTAGGGCGATGGGATTTCTAGGGCTTGATGTGTCTAGGGTCTTGGGTGATTTTATAGCATTTTCTAGGCTTCTGCGGTTTAGGGTTTAGCGTTCAGGGATCAGGGATTTCTTGAACACAACCGAGAAGAAACCCTCCACAAAAACAGACATGAAATAACAGGCTCACACTTTGGAACCCTCAACCCTGAACGCTACACCAACGAAACCCTATGACAACCATCAAAACCCTCTACAACCCTGTAGAACACCACAATCCCTGCAAGTAACTTATAGCATTTTGCTGCCCTAAAACCCAAGCTAAATCCTAAAGCCGAAACCCCTGAACCCTAAAACATAATCCTAAACCCTAAATCCGAAACACCTGAATCCCAAAACTGTACCCCTATAAACCGCAAACCCGAAACCCCTAAAGCGTAACCCCCAATTACTAAACCCCCAAATCCGAAACCCCTAAAGCGTAACCCCTAGTTACTAAATCCCCAAATCCGAAACCCCTGAACCCTAAAGCGTAAACCCTAAACCCTAAACCCTAAACCCTAAACCCTAGAGCAAAGAGCTGAACCCTAAAGCCTAAACCCTAAACCCTAAATCCTACTCCGAGGGTTTGTGAAAGT